CACACGCAGATGGCCTCGGACCCCAGCCGCCTGGAGCCGATCCTGCAGCCGCCCATCCTGAAGAGGCCGATGGGCGTGCATCCCTGTTACCAGTGCTCTTCGCTGAACGAGAACCACGCCAAGCGACTGTGCCGACGCCAGCCGCTGGACGTCATACAGCACACGGAGACACAACTGATGCGCACGTACCCGGCGGCCATGCGCATCGATTCGTCCAATTTCAACCCTCTGTACTTCTGGGCCTTTGGTATCCAAATGGCTGCGCTGAACTATCAGACGGATGACACGTACTTGCATCTGAACTATGCGATGTTTGAGCAGAACGGGAGGTGCGGGTACGTGCTCAAGCCGAGGGTGATGTGGGACTACAACCATATGATGTATAGAAGATTCAATCCTTTCGACAAGGAGTTCGATGGCCTCCACGTGTTGAATCTCAAGGTGTCTGTGATATCAGGACAGTATGTTTGTGCAAATAATTCCAGGGGATGACTGTACGCAGTGTCTTATCAGATAGGGGAAAAAAGTGACTAAATGATAATAGTGCTAGAATGTTGAATATATTTAGAACACCTACTTCATATTTAGGTGATATCTATAATGGCTGTGGTGTTCATGATAAGAACATACTTCCTGTACGATAGGAGATAGGAAATAATCAGAGAATTATTAGGAAAATCGGTTTTCTTGTTAAATGTAATTTTAATCTTACTGAATTGAAGGCGTTTCAGTCATGGCAGTGGATGTAGTGTTGGTCGTTTTTTGGGGATATAGAAATATTTAAAAATTTCCTTTCATATCATCACGTCAGATTGAACAAGCAAAGAATATAATTGTAACTTGCGGATTATTACCCTTGCAATGATGGTCTATTTTCCAGGCCATGAACCAAAACCAACCGTGTTTCCCTCCCCCTTTCCAGACCACAACCCCTTCGACGTGACCCACCCGGACAGCCTGTTCGAAGACGAGAAACACTGCCTAGTAATTAAGAGCGTGTCGATGGGCACGCGCACGGAGTCCCTGTCCAGCGCCGAGGGGAACCGCCTGCGGCCCAAGTCTCAGAGCGACGAAAACCTGATTGACGACGACACTCCGGTCCCGAAGGTGAAGAAGCAGAGCAGCCAAATCGCCAAGGAGTTGTCCGACCTCGTCAACTACTGCCAGGCCGTCAAGTTCCACGGTTTCAACCTCGCCAGCCCACGGGAGTCGGTCAAAGCCAAGAAGATCGGCGGGCGGAAGAGCACCGTGCAGCCGCCCATCATCACGAACACGCCCATTTTGGTCCACACGCAGATGGCCTCGGACCCCAGCCGCCTGGAGCCGATCCTGCAGCCGCCCATCCTGAAGAGGCCGATGGGCGTGCATCCCTGTTACCAGTGCTCTTCGCTGAACGAGAACCACGCCAAGCGACTGTGCCGACGCCAGCCGCTGGACGTCATACAGCACACGGAGACACAGCTGATGCGCACGTACCCGGCGGCCATGCGCATCGATTCGTCCAATTTCAACCCTCTGTACTTCTGGGCCTTTGGTATCCAAATGGCTGCGCTGAACTATCAGACGGATGACACGTACTTGCATCTGAACTATGCGATGTTTGAGCAGAACGGGAGGTGCGGGTACGTGCTCAAGCCGAGGGTGATGTGGGACTACAACCATATGATGTATAGAAGATTCAATCCTTTCGACAAGGAGTTCGATGGCCTCCACGTGTTGAATCTCAAGGTGTCTGTGATATCAGGACAGTATGTTTGTGCAAATAATTTCCAGGGGAGTCCACAGGTTGAGGTCGAGATTCTTGGCATTCTCGTTGATTGTAATAAATTCAAAACCAAGGTGATTCATAGGAACTCTTTCAATCCCATTTGGAACGATACGTTTAATATAAGGGTGATGTTCAAAGACCTGGCCTTCCTGCGCCTCACGGTAACCGACACGGCGACGGGGCACACGACGGCGCAGCGCATCCTGCCGCTGGGGCGCCTGAGGCGAGGCTACCGCCACGTGCGCCTCCGCAACCAGCAGAACCAGCCGCTCCCGGTGTCCACTCTTTTCATCTACACGCTGATGGAGGAGGAGGAGTACGAGATCCAGCAGCTGTCGCCGAGGATGGACCTGAGCACCGACTCGGCGAAGGTGAAGGAGTCCGACGTGGAGCATCACGAAATCACGCCCACGGTGCCCCTCAAGAGGAGAAAGTTCTTCGTGAAGATCCACGGCGTTGTCCCCGACGAGCCCTACACGGTGATCAGCGCGACCCAAGAGTGCACAACAAGGGATGTCATTAGCAAGGCTGTGGCGAGAATAGGCAAGGGCGCTCGCCTGGAGGACTACATCCTGATCGAGGAGGTGGCCAAGGGCTGGCAGAGGAAGGGGGACAACCCGACCACGCAGCGCATCCTGGACATCAACGAGCGCCCTCTGGAGGCTCAGGCGCACTGGCAGGGCGAAGGGAAGTTCGTCCTGAAGAAGACCTCGGACGACCCGAGCACAAGGGCCTGGCTGACCACCATCATGAGCACGGCCTCGAAGGAGAAGAGGAAGAGGAACACGGAAGGAGACATGTCCGAGGAGGCGAAGGGGTGGGAGGAGGAGGACAATTTCCTGGTGTGCGTGTACAACGTGTCGGCTCAGATCCCCTACACGATCCTGAAGGCGCCGACATCAAGCACCGCGCAGGACATCTTGGCCCAGGCGCTGGTCAAGGCGCGCCGCATGGAGGACCCTGCTCGTTTCGTGCTGGTCGAGGAGCTGGAGTACGGCCAGCTCACGGAGCTCACCGGAAGCACCACGAGCCGCCGGAAGCCGCGCATCGAGCGGAGGGCGCTGCCGGACTCGGAAAACATCTACAAAGTTCAAGCCGCCTGGAAGACGCTGGGGAAGCTGGTGTTGCGGGAACGAGGTGCTGCCCTGGACGGAACCTTCAGCCGGGCCACAGCCGCTGCCTCGGCGCTGAGCTCGACGCTGTCCACCGCCATCAGCCGCGTCAGCCGCTCCAGGCACTACGAGCGGCGGCCCGTCAAGGAGACGTACAGCGACCCGAGCGCCCTCGCCGCCGCCCACGAGAACTTCCCCGACCGCAGGTTCAAGAGCCTGCACGACACGTGGCGGGCGGGGGGCGGGCCAAGCGGCGCCCACTCCGAGGGCGAAATCCTCTCGGACGAGGAGCACCCGCCATCCGATCTCAGAGCCGCTGTTCACAAGCTAAAGAAAGTGTCTCTCAAGAAGCTGCAGAAAGTATGGAGATAAGTTCAGACCCGAATGTATCTTAACTGCATTCGTCACATATTAATTATCCTGAAGATAATTTAGGGGAAAGAATTACGGTAGAGGTGTAAGTCTTATCCTGCTTGGTTTTAAGAAATGACCTAAAGACATCTTTCGGTTTTGCTTTTAGAAGAAAGAATGAACTCGACTATTTTTCCATTATTACGATCTCAGACTCCGGGAAGTTGAGGTTGCTTCCGAGCCCATGAGCACGCGCTGGGCACCGAAGTGTCCCCATACCAAAGATTATTGTGGTTACACCATTAATTAAGCTCAGGCACTGAATCATGTTCATGTAAATAAAGACGGTTGAGCGAAAACAGTCTTCAGGCGGCGCTGACCCAGTGAAAAAAGCAACAAGGTGTTCGTTTCCGTTGGCAGAGTCGTGGAGTACCTGTTTGTCTTCACAGTGAACTCAAGTGACTTAAAATACCCGCAGTGTGAAGGAGACTTTCACTCATTGTAGATAATGTTCAGTGAGATGAAGCCATCCAGTGTTTTTAATCTTACACTTTTATATCACTCTTAAATCACAGTGGACTCAATGGCTGGAGTTAAAAGACTAATATAACACGCAGTTTTCTCCCGAGTACAAAGGGAGTTGTTATTGTGATTGTGATGTTGGTAATGTGTTGGTATCAGTGTCATGAAAGAACGGGTTAAGATGGCCTTACTACAAGGTTTAGATTTCCGTGTAAATACTTGTAAATACGACTTTAAAAGTAATTATAAACTATGTATATTGCCCTTTCAAATGAAATATTTTGCATAAATACCTCTTCTATGTCAGTGATCATAAATCATATCCATGTTGTAGTTGATGTGTTGTAGATGATGATGTGTTCCAAAGGTTTGTAGATAATGAGATAAGGTGGTTCAGCAGATAGCGATCTGGACAGTTCTATTGAAATATATATTTTTTTGTGCATATCATATATTACTAAGTAAAAGATTATGCAAAAAATAAGGCTTAGTCACCCTCCCGATCCTATTCAGAATTATTAAGTGTTTTCCCATTGTAAAACTCAAATAGCGGTAATCCTGATAACTACACAACAGTGTTACTGACCACTTTTTATTACAGTAAGGTGTGTTTGTCTCTTATATGAAGATGAAGTTCTACATGCTTACCTATTTAAAGATTCTTTAAATATATTCTGTAAAGATTGGCAGCAGAAATGAACATGACAGTATATTTATTATTTGCAAATTATTTGCTTTTTTGCAATTTTAAGGTATACCTATTTATTGTAAATCATTATCATTATGAAATTAAGTTAATTATATAAAGCCTGCATATTGTAAGTACATAGATATTTTGTGTTTACCAGATGTCATATATCTAACCACAGTAGGGCTCCGTGCTCTATCTTACCTTTCTTTTTGAAAGAGCAATCTGGTAATGTAATTCTGGCATTTACCACAACTTTAGTCATCAAATGCGGCCATGAGAACACCCACATCAAAGAAACAGCCCTTGCAGTAAGGGGAGCTCATTCAGTTCCAGTGGCTCCGTCAGCTGAAGTTGTGGTGAATGAGATTGTAATTAAAGTTATAGATGTTATTTACAGCGTCTACTGGGGAGTTTAGTGAGGAGAAGTTCCGCGAGGACGAGTTCCGTTCGAAAGTTTTAATTTCAGATCAATCATGCTTCTTGAAATTGTGCATACAGAATATAACCACTTGGAATTTGTTACAGTATTATTGCTACTTTAAAACACAATTCATATTAACATGATATCCTTCTTCTCTGGTGGTTTGCAGCCCTACTGTATTTTCTCCACGGTCTTGCAAATTGCAGTCTTATGATTAAATCAGTTTTGAATACTTCTAGCATCTCCTGTGGGTCCTTTCTTGAGGGACTGGCAGCCAAGATTACCTCACCTTTTCTTCACAGTCCATCCTAATTCTTAGCCAAACTGAGGTACGGCTACGTCTGCTACAGTATCTAATTGATGATTCTGTGCTACACCTTCTCAGCACTAATCTTGCAAGACAGTTGCTGATCATCCATATACGTTGTTTATGTGGCGTGAAATCAGAACTTATTAGCATGTGAAGTAAAAAGATCTGGCTTGGTCGTGTAGAAGTAAACAAAGTATTTTTGATAACTATACTATTTTTTTAAGATGACAGCTTACTGGATTTGCATTTATCAAACTTTTTTAACAATTTATTTGAATTAACTTGTCTTCCTACAAAGTTTTGCCAATTTATGAATACCAAGTTTTCATATTCATTCATTTATGTAATTCCCAATACATAATTTATTCCAAAGTACAGGTGTTGTTATGAATACTCAATAGGTAATTTTCGAGAAACAACTGCAAAACTTAATCTAATTTTTTTAGTTGAAAATAACTGGTGTTCATGTCTTTACATTCTTTTGAGTAGCTTTAAAAAAAAAACAAAAATAATATTAATCACAGAAAAAAATGCTTTTATTATATTATAAATGTCTTATAAGGAAAAAAATATATATTAATGATTATTAATATCTCTACACAATAAAAGAATCCATTTGCGTAACATCCCACTCCATTTTGCAGATCAAAATACGCATATCATGGTACCCAAGAAAAGATTTTTAAAAAGTGTATGACCATTTACATTTCAAATCTTAAATCAGTTTTACAGCCTTTTGACAATCACAGTAAAGTCATCTATTTAAGTGTTCTAAACATAGTCATAAGTGTATTTAGTTAGCAAAGGAAGATTCAATTATAGGTTGGACTAATGGCTAAATTTGTAGATATACAGCTAACTGAATAAATCTACTCTGTGCACATACTTACTTGGTGAACTGAGTACTAAATGTGAGGATTTTTCAACTAGGTATCTTATCATGAGAGCATACCTTAGAAAAGTAAAAATAAATAGGCACAATGTTGTTAATTTTGAAGTTAACATACGCCTCAATTTATTTGTGTTACTCTGTCATAGAAATACACTGTTGGTCAGTCAGCCTCTCTCTAACTATATAATAATGGTGTATACATTTAAGTACTGTTTATGATGGCCATTGTTGACTAGTCTAAATTACTTGTTTCAACTGTGACACTGCTAGTCAATCTAATTTTCACTTTCCAAAAAAATGAATACAATCCTGTGGTCATTTCATTATCATCAGTTGACATTTAGGTGTCACATAAGAACTTTAACCTTTTGCTTTGTACAGCAAATCAAATTCTGTTCATATGGCCAGATTACACAAATTCAACAGCAAATTACCAATTATACCATACTACAGTATGCTGTATGTATGATTTCAGGGTAATGTTCACCAAGTAATTAGTGTAACTGAATTGCATACAAAATCCATATCAGCCTACTTCAATCACCAATTGACACTCAGTATACTACAGATATCAACACATCAAGTAAAGTGACTTATGAAGTATTGTATATGAAAATGCAACATGTGATTAAGAATTGTAATTCTTTTGTGTTCTACATACATGTCCTATTACGGTATCAGTCAGCTTTTCTCTTTGAACGTTGCAGTGCAATGTCTTTAATCGGGGAGTGCTATGTTTTCTGTTAAGCTTTAAGAAAGTATTCAAGACAAACCAAATTAAATCAATAGGATCATGTATAGATATCCAATAACTGTGTCTTTTTGCAGTACCCATTTCAGTCTCTTACACAAATACTAAAAATGAAACTGGAATATGGACATCCTATTAAAAAGGACAATGAATAGATACAGTTCACACAGCACAGAAAAAAAAATATATGATAAAATGTTCATATTTAGTTGTCTGAAAAGTAAATCTATTACTTTGATTGTGAAGTAGATTTTCTTTTTATTTTCACAAAAAAGCAGTACTGTAAGATGGATGAATTTTTATGTTGGTCAGGCTTGTGATATCATATTTCTTCCATTAACTGGATGAGTGTTCGTACTTTGGCATATCAATAAATAAAATGCTGCTACAGTGTAATGCATCAGATATCAAAGGTATTCCATTAAATGTAATTTTGACTGTGCCATATTCTTGAGGTGTTTCATTCTGTAACATACCAAATACTTTTAAAAATCTTATGAAAAGTATTTCCCCTTTTTTTCTAGCCAAAACACCTGAATGTATATAGAAATGCACATCTCTATATGTATTCCTTTATGTAAATGAGTATTTATGTGTTCCCCTTCTTTATTATTGTTTGTATGTTCATTATTGTGTGAAAGGTTTAGGATTTAATCGTTTTCTAGGCCATGGTGCATGTAACACTTTTTGATATCAGTCATTCAGAACAAGCCACACTGTAGACAGGCTTTCATCTCAAGTATTTATGCATGTTGTCAAACGACACAAAAATGAATACTTATATTCACAATGGTATATAAATGTGATTGGTTTATTTGTATCTGTGGTGTTGATACTGTTACTGCTTTGTTTTGTGAATATTTTGAATTCTAATTCCCAATTCAATTCCTTGTTGTTGTTATTTGTTGTGTAAGGATTACTTCTAAAATGGCTGAGTAAGTGTTTTCTACTTTTGATATTTAGATAACTTCTTACCCATTGCCAACGGCCTATATTGAGGGCTGGCGATCGCTACGTCGGTACTTGAAACTTCTTACAGTGAAAATATTGAGTATGTTGGTTGTATGTGTAGATCACTTTATGTAGAAATAAATCTATTATCTTGAAATGAATGATGAACCTTTTTTAACCTTCAAGAAATTATATGTAACTTGATTTATAAAAGTAATTAATCATATTACTAAATTAGTGCTGATAACTACATGAACAATACAAAGAAAAAGCTTTGTGTGTGTGGGGGGGTGGGGGTGCGTGTGTGTACAAACACAAAAACATACACAGTACATCAAGTTAATTAGATAAATTCTGTAACTTATTCGTCATCACTACAATGAACTATCATATGGATTCATTTAATGTCATATTTAAATGTTTCTGTTACTCCTATATAATTATTAAAAGAATTATAATAACAATAATAATAAATGATAATAATAATAGCAAAAATTACAACTGCTCCTACTACTATTTGTACTATTACTACTGCTACAACAATAATAATAATAATGATTAACTTCATATTCTGACATGGATGCTGTCCATTGTAGATATTTTTGTGAAATTGTTACAGTTAGCTCCATAAGTGCTCAGCCACTAAGGGAGTCAATTAGAAACTTAATGTAACCTCATCTGATTTCCTCATTCCTTGTTTTTTTTTACTTTTGTTAATGTTATTAAAATTGTTATTGTTAGTAATAGTAGTAGATGTAGTTGTAGATGTAGTTGTAGTAGTACTGTTAAGATGTTAATTATTATTATTAATTAATAAAAAAAGACAAAAATCAGGGGATAAGGTAAACAAGTGAGATAGGTATGACTCCTTAGTGACCAAGCACTTACACAGCCATCTATGCGCAAACAGATTATAGTGGAAATGGCATGCATGTCATAACACCCAGCACAAGGGGTTAAATATTACAGCTATTATATCTTCTACAGTTGTTTATGGGTAAGAAACATGGGGAGAAAATGGTTATGATGAGGAAATTTGATTTTAAATCTATGGTCTTCTCTTGTGGTTCTTTGGAAGGATTTTTTTTATGCTGATTATTTCACCCTATGATGTATTGCATTAAAAAAATAGCATAAATGTTTCTTCCCATTATCACACTTTTCTGCTCAAGATTATTTAAATAACTAAAGATACATCAGTATATCATTATCATACTGTACTTGTGTTAACAAACATAAATTACAACCATCATAGCAAAACATCTAGTTTTGATAACCCTCAGCTTAACATACGTTTCTATGCATTCAAGAACTATGGATAAAATATCCTAAATACGATTCGTGTTATACATAGAATCATGTTATATAGAGCTAAGGTAATGGTTAATTTTAATGATTAAAACAAATAAATGTACTAGACATCAAAGGTCATATAGCACTATGATAAAGCATTTTGGCAAAAAGGCAAAAATGAGTGAACAATTAGGATAAGTGGACAGAAGTAGGGGATGAAGAAGAGAAGGAAAAGGAAAGGGGTAGAAGAAAAGACCATGCAAAGTTGAGAAAGAGACTGGGAGGGTATAAAGCTAAAAACTAAAATAAAATACACCCAAGTTGAGAAAAAGGACAGAAAAACAAGGTAATGCCTGTATTTTGAAAACCCAAGTAATTTGAAAGAGTTAGTTTCTAAGAGTAGGGAGAAGATGTAAAGGAAAACTATGACACCATTTATGCTGTTTTAGCTATATCATGAAACTGGGTGATTCTATTCTTCAAGGATGCTACTTTTCTTGACCTGGGAAGTACAACTGTGCAGAAAATAAAGTGAACATCTATACCCACTACAACCCCAAATTACCTCTTCTCTGCCCCTCTCCAACTGCCTATAATGCCTGATTGTTAAAGCTTTACCAAGGCAAGTTTTGGCCTTGGATAAATCAAGAGCATGATTTTACATCCTAAAAAAATTATATCTTGCTGTTATATATCAAATACATACTGCACAGAGGAGCATTAAAGTTATCACAGTTACTTCTCAAATGAGTGAAAAAAACAATAAAGTAAACAAATAAAAACATATTTATCATACCAAACAATAAAATATATAAGAGTATATGTATCAATATGTATAATAGTAAAAATATGCCACAAGGTAACTGTACAACACATAATAATATAATCACTCTCTCTATATTCCATTCACAACAAAAACACGTGATTTCCCAAGGGAGAAGAGAGCCTACAAGGGGCATGACAATGGTATAGTGGGTGTTTCTGGAGGAAACTTGCCAGATAAAACCAGATTTAGGAGTAGACACAGGATATGCCTCATCCATGGCACAAAAAAAAAGGGGTACCTGAAAACTCCACTAGTTTTTGACAGTTTGTGCTCTGTCATTACAAACAGGACCTTGCTTACAAAAGACAGCATGCCACAATCAAAGAAAATAGGCCATTAATAGTTAAGCCATGAGAAAATTACAGGGATACAAACCGTAATATCTAAAAGTATAAAAAAATAAAAATCTTTTAGATTTGTCTTATTTATTTCAGCCTACTTTCACAGTACAAATTCATCATTGTAGTACAAGGACTTCCACCATTCTTATCTGTTAGCCAAAATTTGTTATGAAAGATACATATTTTTCAGGTTTAAAACTACAATATTATATATTCTTATAAAATTACATTAATTATTCATTAAATTAAGATAGGAATTGATGATAAAACTCAGAGAAGTTAAAGTTCCTGTAGGAGTTTAAAAGCAACACATAATTTGAACTCCCCCCCCCCCCCACCCCACACACACACAAAAGAGAGGAAAGAAAAGAAAAGAAAAAAAATACACACATATAATATATAATACATATATTGTATGTGTGTGTGTGTATGTGTATGTGTGTGTGTGTGTGTATGTGTATGCATGTATGTATATGTATGTATGTATGTATGTATGTATGTATGTATGTATGTATGTATGTATGTATATAACTTTTCTGAGTACTGTCAACAATTCCCATCTTTCTGTAAGAATTTAAGGAAAAAATCTCAAAGAGAAAAAAAAAAGAAAAAAATATATATATACGTATATATATGTATGTATATGTATGTATGTATGTATGTATGTATGTATGTATGTATGTATGTATGTATGTATGTATGTATGTATGTATATATGTGTGTGTGTGTGTGTGTGTGTGTGTGTGTGTGGTGTGTGTGTGTGTGTGTGTGTGTGTGTGTGTGTGTGTGTGTGTGTGTGTGTGTGTGTGTGTGTGTGTGTGTGTGTGTGTGTGTGTGTGTGTGTGTGTGTGTGTACACACATAATACATATATATGTAAAGTAAATATTAGTCAAATAACTCAACATTAAACTCTGCAGTGGATAGACTTTCATAGTTGGATCTGACCCAATTCTATCTCAGACACAAAGCATCCCTTCAGAACACAAGCAATAAATGCTGTCAGATGAAAGAGACAAACCAGGTCATAATGCCAGACATGTGCCCCACTTTTTAAACTGCATCTGAATAGAACTAACACTCCAACACACTATGTACATACACCAAGTAATATCTACATACCAAAGTGCCCTGTATATAAAAATAGAGTAAAATATCTTCTTAAGTCTTTTTTCTGCTGGTTAAACTTCCATTTCAAGATATATAGTAAAAGATGCTTTATAATTGAAGCTAAAAAGAAGTACAGTCAAACAAATGGTATCTGTTAAAATACAGTACAATAATCATTCAATATATCATCATCCTACACCATCCTAGCTTCTGAGACATCTATTATATCATAACTATTAAGAAAACAACAAAACATATTAACAAAAATGCAATATCCAGAGGAAACCAACACTGAGTTTCCATTATGTCAAGGAGCACATTTCTATGCATAATCACACCTGAAGATGAACTGGATTTCAAAGGAGGTGCTCCATCTTCAAATAAATCCTTCTGTGAATAGCAGGTTTTCCTGCATTGTGCTGTGTCTTTAAAATCATCCAACTCTCAAACATAATTGCTGTATGCAACAATTTACTCGAGTAAAGTTGTTTCCTCCACTACAAGTAGTATTGACATTAATAATTGCACAAGAGAATATTTATATACATATCCACACACACATATAGACATTCATGTATATATGTATCTGTCTATGTATATGCTAATTTTTTCTGGACCTTTACGGTCTGGTGTGAAGATTTAAACAAACAGGAATGCTTCGGTTTCCTTCATCCTCTTTTCCTCCATCACTATTTTTTTCCCCTTTTCATGTTTCCCAGTTCACAACCAATCTTCAAACCAGACTGAAAGAGACCAGGGACTGAGGTGTTTCAACTGTGGATAAAAAAAATCTGCATCACAAAATATTTTTACCTTCTTTAAAAGTTACTAGAGTGGATTTTTTTCTGAATTTTGTGTCCTCAGGTCTCTGGATGCACTACAGTACCAGCCTAATTGTTGAAGTTTCAAATAAGGCTATCATACTCATCTTGAACAGATGAGTATTTGCCGACTGTGAAGTGCCCCTTTATATGTAGAAATCTACAGCTTTAACTATATATATATATAGTTACACTCTCGACATTCCACAGCTGGAGATTTGTCTGTCATCCCACGGGTTAATCAATTTAGTAAAGTTTTAGGACCATGGTACAAAGCTGTGAACTTATTTTGCTGTGGTTTGCCTGGATAATTTACCAAAAGCCTCAATGATGTTACCAGTCACTACATGCATGTCCCTATGAAGGTCCACTGGAAAAAAGTGCTTGTATAATACTCCCTTCCTGGTCTTCAAGACCAGATAATTTGCTTACAATATCTTGAAGTGGTTGTAAGATTAGCATCAGTTCATGAAAGCTGCTTCATGTGTACCGAGCTGCTGAAGAACTCCGCACATAATTTCGCGCAGAATCTGAAAAGTGTTCGGGATTTAGAAAATCATCATGGAAGTAATAGTACTAATTCTTATTACTGTATTAAGTAAAGAAAGAACAAATATACAACTAGAGTATAGACTGCTATTACTTATGTGATATTTCTCTCTTTGTTACAATTTTTTCATATTATTAAACTGTAACAAAAATTCACAGCAAAGTTACAGCAATCAGGTATGAATGCCTAACTGGAGGTATAAGGTGAGTTAACTTCATACAAAATAAGGAAGACAAAATAATAAATAAAACAAATAAAAATTAAAAACAAAATAAAGAGTCTGCCTTTCTGTGTCTCCAAATGGCAGCTGTATCCTGTTCTCCATCCCATACAGGATGTAAGCAGTACAATCAGGATGGTTTTAAAGGTTGTTTTTTTTACCATTCTATGTTTTTTACTCCCCTGTAATGAACCCTCACACCACACCTTCATAATCCACAAAATTAGGCATTGAAAAGGAAAGAAATTACATTTATTTTGTTCTAAGTCTATGGTGTGTGGCTTTCTCTCGCTTCTATCATGCTCTACTAGAGTGGCTGGGCTCTGTGAGGCTGCTGAGGTGGATTTTCTTCTATTTTTTTGGCTTCCTTGCTTGATGGATTACTGTATAACTGTCCTTGTTACACCAAGTAATCTCAGTTGATATATCTAATCTCATCACTATAATATGTGACATATCTTATGTGTATTAGACTTAATAATTATCAGTCACACTTTATAAAGTGTGCCTGATAATTCTTTGTCTCTCTAATCTTTTATTTTCTCTTCACTCTGGTAAAGGTTTAACTATAAACACTTTTAGTAAATGGTGACATACTACACTGTTCTTAACATACATACTCACTAATTCACTAAGATTAACCTTAAGGTAACAAGCATCATTAAGTCTCCTGTCTCACAACTGTCTTACAACTCAGCAACACAGCATTAAAATCCTGACTATCCTTATTTACTCATATCAAAATAGGCCTCACTCAATTACACTCGCCGCACTCACCCCTTCCTCACAGCTCCTAACATCCTACCTCAATCATTCCCTCATTCAGACTGGGATATCTGTCTGACCCACGACAAAGTGTAATATTTACGTACCTGAGGTTTACAGTGTTCTTCAACCCACGATATAACCGAGCCGGAGATTTCTGCAAAGTTGTTGGTGGCTACGCACTGGTCAAAGGTCTGGTGGAGGGAATCCATCACTGCACGGAACTGAAATATAAGAAGAAAGAACTCATTAGTGGTTGAGTATTCATAGATATTCTTTTTAATCAATTAAGAAAACAAAATGTACATATATATATATATATATATATATATATATATATATATATATATATATATATATATATGTATATATATATATATAAATACACATGCAAATATTTATTCATTTATCTATTTATCTTTTTACATATGCATAACAAACAATGTTAAACAGCAGTGAGCAAAAAGGAAAGAAAACAAACTAGGCCACGTGACATGTAAGAATGTAGTTGCATTTTGCCTTTCAATATTTTATGAATTTTTCAGCATAATACTAGTATATGTTTACTGTGGGAAAATGCAGTTGTTTCTTGCCTTTGTGGTGGTGAGAGAGTTGGCTTAAATTACCCCATAAAACCATGAATTGTTTTTATATCGATTATCACACATAATTAAGAAATAACAATTCAGATTCTTCTTATAACGAAAATGAAGGAGTAAAAATCGCATTTGCTGTTGGTAAAATACTATGAAATGGTATATATAGGCAAAAAATGAAAAAATAGATACTGGGGTAAAAATACTGAAAAATCTAAGTCTAAATTATATATAAGGTGACTGTTTATTTTAGATAGTTCACAGAGTCCCTAGTTTATCTATTATCTATTTATCATTATAAAATATTTGGCTTAGCCAATTTCATCTCAGGATTGAATAAGAATCCTTAACATACGTATATTCTAAATGAATCCATTATCTTTTTAAACTCTTTACTTTTAAAACTATTTGGCCAAATTTTCATCTACAGCAAAATCCATTCATACACTGATCATATGGTCCTACATTCTCATCTTTCAATTTCATCAAATCTAAGAATGACAGTTTTTTTTAACGACCTTTCCTCCCGATCTGAATATCTGTAACAGAATAGCCATGAGTATCCTACCTCACCTTAAGCCAGAACATCAGCTCGGCATATGAAAATTCCCTTTAAAAAATTCCTTAACGCTGAAGCAAAGCAGAACCCACAATGAACTCACCACTTGGAATTTAACGTCATCGGAGATCTGCTTGTTCAGCTGGCCGGGCTGGCTCTGGTGGGCCGAGACTATCTGCTCGTAGTTCAACTTCATGATCGTCAGGGCCACAACCTCCTTCTGCAATGCTGCAACCTCTTTCTCTTGCTGGGCTTTTTCCTTCTTCAAAAACTGTAAAAGTATATATTTTGTTCACCCAACTTTTAATGTATGGTATATATATGAAATTGTCCACATGTCTACTTTATATTACACACACACACACACACACACACACATATTCTTATGTATGTACACACAATATTCTAAACCATAAAATATCACATCACTATCAATAAACAAATAAAGCAAAATTCAAAACTATACAGACACATGATGAACATTTTTACGTATACATGTACACCTAAAAAACACCTACAGCAATGTCCTTCTGCAAAATACCTGTATATAGTCAATACTCTTCTGCAGTACCGTTGCCTTCGACATCTTGTACCCCTGGCCTTGCTCCGAGTTCTGGCACGTCGGGACCAGATCCTGGAGCGAGTCGTACCCCTTATTTATCGCGTTCCGCCTCTTCTGTTCCGCCTGGGTGTGGGCTTCCCGGCGCCTCTCCTTGTAGCTCATCTGGTTGCCCCGGTCGCTGTCCTCGTCGTCCGTAACGTCTGGGGCAGATTGTACATATACATTTCATTGCTAAAAATGTATTAAGGTAATGGATGGTCAAGTATGTTCAGAATTTATGGCGATTCTTAACCTGTGTTGTTAGCTGAAGAAGTGAGGGTATGGATCGAGCCAGTTGAACTGCATCGTGAAAACGGGTAACGCTGGTCAGAATCTCGTTCCTCTGTTAAATACAACAATTTAACCTTCAGGTTCGTGACTGTGATACGACTCTCTAAATATCACACAAGTAACACTGATTCCTCAAACAACATCTATAAAAATGTTAACAATAATCTTTCTCTCTTTCTTTTTCTTTTTTTTAATCAAGATGCTCATTTAGTCTCCTTTAAATCCATGCTGTCATGAACACGGAAACCTAAACCTGAAAAAAATCTTACATATTTATTCTTTCTTATTTATTTAATTTGTTTTTTACTTATCTATTTACTTATTTTCTTTTTCTCACCTTCAGTCATCTTAATGTCAAAGTCTGCCATTCCTTAATTGATTTTTTCACTCTGCAAGGAAAAGAAACAACAGTTAGTTGCAATAAAATATAAATCTATACAAAATTCTCACCGTCTTGGAGCAGCAGGAAACAGTTAATGTAATCTGCACAAGACTATCACCATAAAAATCATTTCCATCCAAATAGTTCACTGATAATTACAAATAAAATCCTAAAGACACACACTCAATAACGGACTTAGAAATAAAGCAGATGGAATATATAACATAATTGCTTAGTCCATGGTACAAGGATAAAGCGCATGAGTTTTATGAAAGCTAAACCAAATTTTGATGTTTATGTTGAAATCCTGATCAGTCAACATGTGTTAAGAACATATATATATTTTTTTCCTTTTTTTTTTTTTTTTTACAGGGCGGCCACACAAGCTTCTATTCTTGAAATTGACAAAAAAAACATTAATTTTCCTTGTCACTTTGCAAAGATCATAATCCATACATAATAAATGCTGATTTTATATGTTATATATCTTATATATTTTTATATAGTTATATATTTTTTATATGTTATATATTTTTATATAGTTATATATTTTTTATATGTTATATATTTTCTGATTTTATATTTTATATTTCTTAACCCAATGGCGCCGGGTGTACAAAAGAAAAAAAAAACTCTACGCTTAAACAAACAAAGGCGGCACGCTGACTTTGAGCGCGTGAGTAGGGGACATCAGCCCGAATCACTGGCTCGCCGCGCTTTGGCGCGCCGCCGGCTCGTTTGGCTGCACGCCAGCTTTCGAGCTCTTTGTTTACACGCCGATCGGCGTCACCCAGCGGCAAGGGGTTAATGTTATTTACAATCATTACCAGAGTTTCTTGGGAGGAAAAAAACCTACCAAAAAACCACCTCAAAGTAAACCAAAAATAAGGTTAAAGCAACCAAGGAAACGCGACAATCCAAAAATCCTTTAATATTCATTATCTTGCAAAATAAACATAAAAAATAGATTTAAAAAATGTCATAGATATTTCAGATTAATTACACCCTTTGCCCTGACAGCCTTTACGTCATTAACGAGAACTAAACACATTAAATGAATGAGAAAATTACCTCGTTTTTAAGAAAGAAAATAATATTAATTATCTTAAATGTCTCTAACCATAACAATATATTAATAATTATGCAACAGAATAAATCGTCCTTTTTGTAAACTCCCCCCAAAAAACTTACAATTATCTCCCTTTAAATCATCATTAACCTTCTAAAATACATATCACAACCACTAACAAGATGAAACAAACACGTCACACCAACTGTCAAAGTAAAAAAAAGTCCTTAAATCGACTCAAAAAAGACAAACCTTAAAAAAATTTCTTCCGCGAGTCACTTTTGGGGAAAGACTTTCGTGGCCTCGGA